AGCAGCCTGTGTTCCCCAGGGGTCTCCGGGGGACCCACCACTGGCCTCTCCCTGCCTTGTGTAGCATTAGCACCGAGTGGGAAGGTGGCTCCCGGAGGGGCAGGGGAAATGCAGCTGCCCAAAGCGGAGTCCGAGCCCGAAGCCTGGCCCAGGCCTTGCTGAGTCACGTGCCGGCCCTGCCGGGGGGCGGGGACCCCACCCAGAATAGTCTGCTTGCAGGGGTCTCCGGGGGACCCACCACTGGCCTCTCCCTGCCTTGTGTAGCATTAGCACCGAGTGGGAAGGTGGCTCCCGGAGGGGCAGGGGAAATGCAGCTGCCCAAAGCGGAGTCCGAGCCCGAAGCCTGGCCCAGGCCTTGCTGAGTCACGTGCCGGCCCTGCCGGGGGGCGGGGACCCCACCCAGAATAGTCTGCTTGAAACCCAGATCCTGGCGGCCACGTCCCGGCTTCAGCTGCAGACCGAGCCCGGCCCCGCCAATAGGCGCCCCTCCCCCTCGGCTGGGCCCTGCGGTCCCCATGACGCCTCACATGACCCGGCTGGAACCAAAGCGCCACACTCACCCAGAATCCCCCTCCCCTATTGGACGCGACGTCGTCCGAGTCGAGGCTTCGGGCACCACCGAGAGCAGAGAAGGTGGGTTTGGCAGAGGGGTCGGAAGGGTAATGGCTCTTGGGGGAGCCCCCACTGCCTCGCATGGCTCATGCTGCTCCCCCTCCCTTTGCGCCCCAGGAGGAGGAGGAGGAGGAGGAGCGAGGCGACTGGTGGACCAAGTTCTACGCTGCCACCGGGGAGCTGGCAAAGAGCAGAGGCGACCTGCAGACAGGCCTGGGCCACCTGAAGGTGGGTGCCCGGCTGCAGCCACATGCGGGCACAGCTGGGCTGGGAGTTGCAAAGAGGCATCTCCCCTCTGCTGGGGATGATGACCACCCTGGGCCAGGTGGAACAGGCCTGAGGCTCCCCTCAGACCGATGGGCGAGGGGCCGGGCCTCTCTCTGGCCCAGGAGCTGTGAGGGAAACCAGCTGAGCTTTTCCGGACTGGCCGTAAGGAGTTTCCCTCCCTCGCTAGACCCCAGGATAGTCACAGAGGAGAGGCTGTGATGCTGTCAGCCAGGCAGGCCTCGGCGCACACTCTCTGCCCAGACTCATACGTTGCCTTCAGACAGCTGCCATGCTCCACCCCAGAAGCAGCTGCATGTCTGTGGTGGGTGAAGTGGTTTAGGCACCAGCCATTCCCTAGAACAAGCAGCAATGGGCTTAAACTGCAGCAAGGGAGGTTGAGGTTGGACATTAGGAAAAAGTTCCTGACTGTCAGGGTGGTCAAACACTGGAATAAATTGCCCAGGGAGGTTGTGGAATTCCCATCTCTGGAGATATTGAAGAGCAGGTTAGATAAATGTCTCTCAGGGATGGTCTAGATAGTGCTGGGTCCTGCCATGAGGGCAGGGGGCTGGACGCGATGACGCTCGAGGTCCCTTCCAGTCCTAGTGTTCTCTGATTCTATGATGCCCAGGCCGCTAAGCTGAGCACTCGAAGCATGTACGAAACGGTGACCGATCTGTGGTCTGTGCTGCTCCCCGGGGAGAACGCGGCGCCCTGCTGGAGAAGGGCAGCTAACGTGTGTCGAACGAAGGGCGCCTGGCGAGCCTGCTCCCTGGCAACGCTCCAGGGTCTGCCCCTGGGTGCTTCACCCTCAGGGCACGTCCAGTCCCACCCCGCGCTGAGCCTGGCACTCCCTGGCAGGTCTATAGCTGTGAGCTGGAGGCCGTGCCGGAGTTCCAGGGCCTGCAGGATTTCTGCCAGACCTTCAAGCTGTACCGGGGCCGGGTGCGGGAGGAGGCCAGCGAAGACCCCCTGGTGGTTGGGGAATTCAAGGTGAGACCCAGGTGCCAGGAGTTTGTGGATTTCATTGCCAGGCTGACAGGGTGCCTCAGCCCGGTCCTTCCACCACAGCTCCGCAGCCTTCCCCCAGCACCGTGTGCCCACCCACAGCCAGGCATACCAGTGGCACTGCCCTCTGACCGCAGCCAGCAGCACCGCACCCGGCCCCTGCCTGCCCTGCCCTCGGAGCACAGTCGTGCAAGTTGCCCTGTTTCCAACAGGGACTGGCTTCCAGATGCCTGGGGGACAACACTCCGCTGGTGCAGTATCTGAACAGCTAGAAGTCATGTAGCTTGGTTTGTTTGCAGGGATCCTTCCAGATCTACCCCCTGCCGGAGGACCCCAGCTCCCCAGCACCGCCACGCCAATTCCAGCAGCTGCCCGAGAGCCATCCCCAGAAGTGTCTGGTCCGGGTTTACATCGTCCGGGCCTTTAACCTCCCGCCCAAGGACAGGAACGGCCTGGTACTGGCACCCAGTGCCCATGTCTTCCCACCCACCTTGCACAGTGACCGCAGCTGTCTGGTGTGTTGTCCTGCACTGGCACCCAGGGAGCCACCAAGCCCAGAGCTGCCGGCGCAGGACAACAGTAGATCTCCAGTTTCATTACAACCGAGTCCAGGCCCTGCCAATCGTTCCAGGCCCCGAGTAGCCTGCTGGGCGCTGGCGTCTGGAGCGGGGCGGGTCTCCG